ATATATATATATATATATATATATATATATATATATATATATATATATATATATATATTGATGTTCACGTAGATATACGAAATAGCAGTGGTTTATTTTGTTTATTCAAAGTGTGAAAGTTATATTAATTTTCTTTTCGTAAAAATATATATTGTAACGATTTTTTATATTTCTTTATTCGTTGATGTCCATTTAAATATACTAATTAAAAATGATTCGAGTGCGTTTTTTTTCAAAATATTGTCCAGTAAAATTAACTTCAAAAGAAATTAGTGTTGCTATTATGCACTCAGTGACTCTTTAAAAATGATGAAAAATTATCGCCTTTCTGGTCTTGGTAAAAATATCAGAATTATTTTCTATATTTCTTTATTCGTTGATATTCATTTAAATAGAAATACTTCAAGTATGTGCGTGTGTGCGTGCGCGCGCGTCCGCGTGCGCGTGTGTGTGTGTTTTAAATATTGACCAGTAAAATTAATTGAAAAAGAGATTAGTATTGCACTTATGCACTTAGTGATTTTTTCTTTAAATGCTTCACACACAATTATATTTAAATTATAATCACAACTACAATTGTGTACAGAAGTCAATGGAAATAAGTTCGAATATTTATACCAATAAATTTTTCATCGTCGATCTCTCTGTTCTAGTCGTTTCAGCATTCGTGTCCATCTCGAAATGTTTAAATATTTATTCATACTTAAGGTCACGTGAAGGTCATGCCATTACGTCTTGATCTCAGCTATCATGATATAATTACGGAAATATGTAGCCCCGTTTGAAAAAAACATCGATGACCTTGAAATCTCGAAAGATATGACCTTCGAAAAGAAATGATTTCCACTCTGCAACATTTGCCCCTTCGAATCATACAATCTGTTCCTCTATCATTTTTTAGTATCGTCAACGCTAACGAAGATATTGCTAATTACAATAGCTTTAATGAAACATCTCGTATATTATACACATTATTTACGTATTATTTTACACAGTCAGGAAACACGAAACACGCGTGTTCATATTTAATGGGCGCGACAAGTACGGTGGATTTATAGAAAATTCGCGGCGACAGGACTCGGAATTAACCGGCGCGCAACGCTCGCGACTGCCTAAATGTTACACGCACGCACGCGTACAAAGCAACAGGCACACGCGCCTGAGATGTTCCAAGCCGAAAGTAGCGACCACGATGAGCGAGACGCGGGATGGGAGTCCGGTGACGTGGCCCTCGCGATTCTCACGTTGCGTGTTAATTCCGAGCCCTGTCTTACGCCATTCAAAGGCCACTGCCTTTCTTATTGGACCGTGAGCTGGCAATCTCGAATCACCGCGGAGATCAGTGCCATTTTTAATAAAAAAAATATCACCGACAATAAATGTTCCTAGAATTATTATTAATTTATTTGTCAATTTTTGTCAACATAATTTTTATGTTACCTCAGCGAACGACACGACAATTTTTTAATCAATCGTTAGCAAGCAGACATTCGGATGTTATTGACGAACCGGGTCCAAATTGACCCGGGCACCGCCATGGGATTTTTGAAAGTTCAAAACATGATCGGTTTAAATGCGTCATCGGCTCGTTCGGCAACAAACTGTTGCATAATCGATCGACTTCACTTCCGAATCATGGACGATTCCGATTATTATTGCCCTATTTCTGTTACGCGACCCGACCTCGATTAATTTTCCTCGACGTCGTCGCGGACATTCGTTTGTCCTCGCACGGCTGACACGGTTCACACGGAGCGCCCTTTATATTCTAAAAATTAATTTTTCTTTACAGTTGTAATACTTTTCACACGTTTGTGACGCAACCGGTACTGCAACATTAAACGCAATAATACCGATAACAATCGTTCGAATAATTCGTCTGAAATCCTGCGATTTTATTCTGACGGTCTCATGACGGGCAGAACATCTGCACTGTTCAATCGAAAAATATTAATGTGCGTAATTATGCATTACAATTTCATTCATTCCGACGTGTGTTGTTAACGTCGACCTAGTTATGTCTAATTCATTGTAAATTTTATGCCTTCGTGACGAGGATGAGCAAGCGAAACGCAAAACGGTTAAATGAATCAATTTTTTTTTGCATAATTCTAATTCAAGAACAACGTGGATAATTCTGATTTTGCATAACGCGAATTCGGAACCAACGTAGATAATTTTGATTTTGCATAATTGATCGGAATTTGGTATTGACACAAGAAACACTGCCAGACGCGGCCGAACGGTATTAATAACAATTCTCTGGATAAATCGAATAGTATTTAATAATCATTCGCGTTATTTTGCAGCGATGTTCCTACACAGCAACATTCTATCGAATTTTAATAATATCCATCCGAATTATTTGTCTCCATCGTTTCCATGCTCTTGATATTTTAATCAACTTGATATTTTAATTAGCATTGATATTTTAATTAGCTTGATATTTTATCAGCTTAATATTTTTATTAGCTTGATATTTTTATCAGGTTAATATTTTTAGCAGCTTAATATTTTTATTAGCTTGATATTTTTATCAGTTTAATATTTTTATTAGGTAGATATTT